AATGAATTCAGCCGCTTTCTCTCCCAACACAGGAAATGCATCGTATTACAATTTCATCGGAATCCCAAGGACCATTTTTAGAAAGTGGATTTCGTGCATTGTGGAAAGGCGTGCAGGCGTTGGCTAGTATGGCGCAGTGTTTTCTCACAAATTCCCACAACAGTGTATGCGAGGAGTTTGAAGCCAAAGCTGCACCTGAAGGTAGAATGAACTTTAATGGGTCACGCGTAGTCGTAATTATCTAATTACGATCATGGCTCGCTGATTTCACTTACACCCCTATCAGGAGGACTGCATGGTTTCAATTAGCGAGTAATTAGATCAAACGAAATTAACCGTTTACTGGGATACTTTGCCCCGAGAGCCGATCGGAAGGAAAGAATCGGTTTCGTCCAGGCATTTTGCTGGAAAATTGGATTCACCGTCGTGTAATGGCATTGTACAACGACGTTAGGAATAATAGACGCGATGATTGCAATTAATTTATGGACAGTGCAATGGGAATTTGCAAGAACGTGTTTCTTCGATCGAATACACAAGTGCACCATTTTATGAATAGTAATGATACTTGATGCCATTGATCATTTTATTTCTCACATATTAAGGTATATGTGTGTATTCGAATTTCTCGAATTCCCTCGAAAAGGAAACATTTATCTTCCTGGGATATATTTTTGTATAACCTCCATACACTTCTGTTTAATTATGAAGAGAACATTTCCGATAATTTGAATATTATAGACGTTTAATTAAACGATGTCAATTTCTACATATTTTTCGTTGTCAACACAAACTTCGTTTTTTTTCAATATCTTTTCTTTTTTTACGCGTTTATCCAAAACAACGTATACACGCACGCTACACCCATACATATGCACGCACATCCATGAAGTTTACATCAATATTAACCTACACGTCTACAATATTTAGATTATTTTATCAGTATATATCAAGAATTAATGAAAAAATCCTATAAAATTCATTGTAAATATTCTTTCAACACGTTTGTCATTTTTCCCCACTGTAGTTAACATCATACTGAATTCGTCGAGCTACATCATAATCTCGAAACAAGTTCGATTAAAAAAATAAACTAAAAATTCGAACAGAAAACAGTACAAAAATGATAAAATAACAACAATAGAACAATTTATTTCATGCGAAAATTAAATTGTTTTTTATAAACTTCTCACTACAAAATGTTATCCGAAAATGACAAATATTTTTGAACCATTATTAGCGTATAATTTGGTTCCTACTATCTTTTTTTATATTTGAGTTTATTTTAAGATGGTCACATTAACACTAAAGTAATTAGTGACCACCAACATTTGGATACATTACTTAATACTTAATACATAATCACTTACTGTCATACCATGTTGTGAATATTTGCACTACAGAAGAATATATACCATCTGAAATACATAAGTTTTTGTATCAATCAGCCCCGTAAATTTAACTTTTGTTTTTTTCTTCTTGCAGGTTGAACTACCTGATGTCAGGATTAACACCAAGCTGGTATCACGCGACGAATATTGCCTTGCACGCCATTGCATGCGTTTTGGTCACAAGAGTGAGCTTAGTTGTGGCAGCGCTGCGTCCTGGATTCGCAGCCCTGACAGGACTGCTGTTTGCCGCTCATCCTGTGCACACTGAAGCGGTGAGTAACGAGGAATTTTGATACGGTAGTGACAGGATGCAGCAGACGCACGGGGTTGTCAGGCAAACACCAGTCAATTCCCAGAATAGGGTTTGTGCTATACTCAAATGTTTGAGCACACTAACTAAAAGACGGATTGATCGATTGAATCAATTAAAATCAAAACACGTAACGTAAAACATCATTAGGATAACACAACCAGTAATTTACAGTTACATTTCATTAAATAATTATAAATTATTCCTGTTTTTTCTTGAACAATCTCTATAATCTACTTCATCGTTGTATTATCCTAACAACAAACTAATAATGCATGGTTCTTCTTACTAAACTTTGACACGTCATATAACTTACGATAATAATTACAGAAACGAAAGATAAACAGGTGGAAAATGGAAAGAAATCACACTGTTCTCCTACCTTGAAAGAATCACTTGGAACATAGCCAAATTATCGCGTCAGTATCTATAATAAATGTTCAATTCCTTCAGCTCGATTTACATTGAGATTATAATTAAAATTGAAAAGATCGAATAGAAATTGTAATACACAGTAAATTTCCACTATATATCTAATTTAATGAAAGGACATTCTGATTATTTCATATGCTGAAAGATCAGTCTCAAAATGGCTTATTACAAGCTACAATCTACACAGAATATTATAAACATTACGCATTATTCCTCGCTAAAAGAATCAATTAACGAGGTATTTAGTATGATCTACGCAGTAACTTCATCTCAATCACAAGTTCCTTAATCGATCCGGATTATACAGCTGGTACCAGTACCAAGTAACTCCAGGATCCAACGCTAGAAATTAATCCTCCCTTTTCAAATTCCCACGGCTGTAAGTTTATCTTAAGCCGATCGGAAGGGTTCTGGTCCCGATCAGTGGCGAAAGCCTCTTGTTCTTCTGGTTATATCGTACGCACAGTGCCCAAGAACAATGAACTTGGACGTCACCGATAATGTTTATCTACTTAACCTGCTTCAGCTAAGCGCGTGATGGTTACGCTGTACTCATCGCCGTCCTCGGTTATCTGCTGTTTCAGAGGGTTTGGGTTTAAAGAGGATTGGGGATAGAGGGTGGCTCGTTCAAGGACAAAGCCTGCCACTGTGTATAACTAACGCGGAAGATTTATGCAACTAAAAAGTTCAGGAGAATAGAACAGTAAAATATGAACGTGTAAACGTTATATAAATTCTATTATATTTTCAAATGATTATGGTTATGTTAGGTAATATAAATATTTCTTTTCGTTTCGTCTCGAACGATCAACGTGGGATAGTACAGCGTACAAATACTAGTATCCAATACTAGATTTTTAGAGTATGCCGAAGCTGGAATGATAACTTTAGAAATATTTAATAATTTCATTTTAAGAATATATAAAATATAACTAAAATAGAATTCATGGCACTGGTTTGTTCTGTTTCCGCTACTTATACAAATACGTTCTATCCCCACCACTTATACAAATATAACTACCATACGCCTGTAACGTTAGCACCATAGACCATCAAGCTAAAAGTGCATAGGGGTTCCAACACTCACGATGCTCAGGCCGCTTCCGTTTTCGACGCATGGTCATTATCATTATCAATAACAAAGCGAGATCGAATGCGACGAAGTGAGACGTAATGATAGAAAACAAAATTCTCTATAGTTCCGTCTCACTCCGTCGCATTAGGTCTTGTTTCCTTCCTTTGTTATTATCGCGCGCCAATAATGACTATGCGTCGAAAACCGAGGCGGCATGAGCATCGTGCGTAGAGTCCCCTTGCTTCTATGCACTTTTAGCTTGATGGTCTATGGAGCTAACGTGACAGCTGCATTGTTGATTAGGTTTGGGTTAGCACGTGGTTAGGTCCTCTAAATTTCTATTCGCTTTCCCTTTTGTCACCATTTCCTGTGGCGGAGGATCGGTGAGTCATGGGTATATGACGGGGACAGAATATAAGCCAGTACTGAAATTATTATGCAAACCGGATACTGTTGATTGGTATCTGATTCAAAACTTATCGTTTTGGGATAAACGCTATTAGAAATGGGTGATGAAATAATGAAACAGTATGTACTTTATAGTGTGACTTTATTATAACGGCTTTGAAAAACACGTCCAGCTCTTTCAAGTCCTCGGATGCGAATGACTCGGAACTCCCAAAAGTAAACTGCAGTCTGCTTTTCTTTACAAGACCGTTTATGGCCTTGCCTGGAGAAAAGTCTTTTGACTTCGCGTGACAAAATCCAGACACATCTGGTTGCCTTTCCATCGCCTTTGTTTAGACTAAAAATATATGAACGTTGGGCAGTTTTACTTTTGCTACCTTAGCATTAGTAATAATTCAACAAACGCAAATAAATATGATGTGTGATAAGTGTCTGTCACATAAAAAGGAAACCAATAACGATTCAAGAATATATCTATGAATATAAAGGATTCATTAACTCGTTTCCCTCGGTTAAGACATCGTCTGTCACGAAAATGACATTTTATTATGAATATAAAAGATTAATTCATTCATTTCCGTCAGTTAACACGTTGTCTGTCACGAAAATCTTAAGGGTCTTATATAGTGCTTCTTTTTTCGTAGCAAACATAAGTAGAAATAATTATTAATTATTTGACATTGCAATTCTTACTTCACACTATTATTTCATTATTCACGCTATTAAACATTTTTATTCAACATTAATTACCTTACATTATGTATTGTGATTGTTTTCAAGCAATTTGAAAGCGTAGGTCATCGGCGACCGTGACAGTTATTTAACATATAAATTATTTATCGTGTTTGTCGTGTCAACACAATAAACAACACGGTGTTCGTCAGTATAATTTTATAAAAATATACTTCTACTGTACAATAGAACATTTTTACACTTGTAACATTATAGGTAATATATATATATATGGTAATTATATATGGCATATATATGGTAATTCTGGATAAAATCTGTGGTTGAGATGACTCCATCTCATTAAAGTTGTCAAATATTTTCAATTTTATTGAGTAGTATACTGAATTTTATACAGAAACCTATTTAACTATTCTTCTTATATAGATACATTTATTTTCATCAATAATATTTATAATGTAATAGTTTTTTTTAATAAAAGTATAGTGTATGAAGTATATGTGTATATAAACTTTTCTGCTTTGCGTTTTTGATACATGTAGTAGAAAACCATTTTGCTGTCAAAGGATCAAGGAAGTAATCAATAAATTTTTAGTGGCAATATAAATGAAAAACACAAAAGAACATGATTATCAATATTCTTTCAAGAGCAATTGTTTCTATCGGAAACCATTTAGTAGGCAAACGATCGCGAGACACGAGCCGATTAGACTTTTGCAACATTTGACAAAAATTATGGTCAAATAACTTAAACAGCGACGTGGAAATTTGCATCTAACAAAGTTCGCGATAACCCGATTAACCAAGAAAACTCGTGACTAGGTGCAACAAAAAGGAATGTGGCATATAAAGGAATCGAAATAGAAAGTAATGAAAGCTCTCTATTAATTCTAATTATGAAGCCAGCGAGAAATGTTTAGTGAAACGAAATACATTATTTAGTTGAAGCATTGGTTACTCATATTCGATCAAGGAGAATAATGCGAAAAATGTATCTACATTAATGTACATAGAATGAAAACATCTCTCTTATGATGTTATCAACAAGTAAGAATTTTTTAAAAAAACAGCATGGAATCAGATTTCATTCAATTTTCTGTCATAAAGCTCCTTTGTAAAATGTCAAGCTGTCACTACAGAATTATCCTGTCCAATATATTTTCTAAGAAACTATCCGCGACATTATATCGTCGACTTCGTTTATGGGTTTCAAAAGAGAGGCGATTTGCGTAAAAACGCGAACTTTACAGCGAGAATTACCAGCGACACGCAGCAGTGATTTTTTCTGGATTGAGCCGGTCATTGCAAGTCCGCTTCAACTATCGGTCACGCACTGCGTTCTAGTACATCGGGCGCGTGTACGGGGTCGCATGTGTCGCGGGTCGCGTGCTCGTCGACCCCTTGTTGCCCGTGCCATTACCACAATGTCGTGCTCCCGGCTATGTTCATATACGCGAATGAAGAAGTCGAGCATACGCGACGTGATTCGCGATGGCGCGAGCCGCGACATTAAGGCGTAAATCACGCTTCATTGTATAACGAAATGATGGTGCCATTTAGATTTTTGATCACCGAGAATACTCGATAGATTCGACTAAACTTTTAAACCTTTCATTCCATCTATATGGATTTAGGTATGTTTTTGGCATTGTTCTTCTCGTTTAAATTTGGGTAATTAATTAAACCGCTGCCTTATGATTTCTTTCTCAAGTCTGATCGGTACGACTACTTTGTCATTAATAATTTATTGGAAAGAAGAAACGTTGTAGGCATATTTTATAACTATGTTTGCTCTTAACACTAGGTTTACTGATATTTTTATATACTTATCTCTATCGATACGGGTTAATTTGACTCATGAACAAAATCAAACATCTTCTTGAAAAAAACAACTTCAAAGACGACATAACTACACACAATGATCTTATAAATGAAACTATGAGATGTACGGATAAAAGTCAGTACAAGTGACAGAAAATAAATGTAAACGGTTTCTCTAATTTCCCTCGCGAACCGGTAAACGTAGTGTTAAGTATAATATTTCATTTCATTGAAAATCTGCACCACGACAAATAGACTATGGATTTTTATACGAATTAAATTTTAAAAGCGTAATTAGAAAAATAGAATTATGATAGAACAAGGTTTTTCATAATAAATACTATAAAAACTGTTATAATTTGAATATTCTTTATACTCTTCGTATCGTATGCATTTTGTGCAATTTTTCACTCTCAAATTCCTCATAAATGCATAAAAATTCACAGGTTCGTAGTTTATATAATTAAAATCCTACATAGCATATTCTCATAAAGGAATTTCCATTTTATGTAGTTATATAAAATGTTATATATAAT